TTTTGTTTCTCTCGCATTTCACTAGCTGTTAAACCAGTGAATTTCCTTGTTCTTGATGCAGCCGGTTCAAGGTCTACTCGACAATTTGTACAATTATTGATGTTAACTGCTGATATCACATTCGGCCAATCAAAATGCTTCAAAATCAGTGGACATAAAGCTTGAGAGGTTGTTATCAAATTTGGAAAAATGAATATCAATTTTCGAGCAGTGGACATCACATTTTGGGAGGTGAAAGCAAAATCGAGGTAACAGAAGGTGGAAAGCATGCAATGCATGGCAACGGATAGGCAACCAATCAGAACTCGGTACGCGAAATTATTCATGGGACAATACGTTACATTGTGGTCTAGTCAATTGGAATTGCGTATTTATTTACCAAAGTACTCGTGATTATCGACTTGATCATGGAGGCCACCTTTCGGGACAGCCTGTATGACGCTAGATTATCAGATGGAAATCATTGAAGACATAACTAAGTACCTCTGATTTAATGACAAATGTGGTCAAAATTAATGCAAATTTAGAATGTTTTGTTTTATACTACTACAGTACCAGACAATTTGCTGTTCATTAAGTCCTACGCGCACTTCGTAAAGCCTGGTTCACATTGATCGTAAACATCGGCGATGCCCATTGTCGGTGGTCATTGATGCATAAAATGTTTTGTGCATTTTCTTCTTCGTTGCTCACAGACAATGGATCGTAGAACATCGCCGATCAATGTGAACCAGGCTTAAACATAGATATTTTGGCATAGCAGCCTTTCACGCATAATTTATCAAACGCATGCCTGATTTTATGCAAGATTGATTTTATGCACGATTTTATGATTCATTTCTAACAAACTCTTTTCAAAAAGTTTAAAAATTACACGTGAAAGGCCACTATGGCAAAAATGTCTATGTTTTAGAAGTCACGCGTTTAACTAAGTCATCAGTATAAATCCGTCTGGCACTTTGACAGTTTATAACACGTCTTTCTAAATTTTAAAATTGCATTTTAAACCTTCCATTTATGCGTAAGCCAATTTTAAGATGGTTTTCAAAGATATTCTTCTTCATTCGAAAATGCACTATTTTGAATTTCGTTCGAAAAATTATATTGCATTGTATCCTTAAAACGTGTATTCTATAGCGGTTCGCAGGCAAGTGCGCTATGAAATCGAATTACTAAATAGTCTGTGTGGAAAACGCATCACAAGTTGCAGCAAAAATTACTTTATTATATAAAATATAGTGGTTTATAGAGATTTCGAGCACTGATAAAAGTGATAATCTCACATGTGAGATTATTCATGATAATCTCACATGTGAAAATTATCGCTTTTCAATTATCGTTTTTCTGTAAAAATTATCGCTTTTCAAAGACTGTCCTTTATAAAATAAACAGAAAAATACATGGGTGCTTGGAAATACCAGATTTATTTCTCGTGTTGAACATGATATCTCACTCGTTCGCTGCGCTCACTCGTGAGATATCATGTTCAACACTCGAAATAAATCTGGTATTTCCGCGCACCCATGTATTATTCTCTATTTATTATATAAACATAAGTGTTATATAGAGTTTTTGGCCAATGAGAAAAATCGTATTTAAACACACGTCAAAAATACGTGTGAAAATAATTTGATATTTACGTGTGAAAATATCATTTGTTGTAAAACGCATTGCCACGGACGTTTTATTGTTTTTCACTGAATTTTTGAACAGAAAAATACATGGATTCTTGGAAATACCATGACTCAGTGCCGTGCGGTCCAGCAAGCGCAGGGAAGCGCCGCTTGCCCTAACATTTAGATCTCAACAAAAATATTTGAAGATAATTTTGAAATCAACAATTCTAGATCTTTACTAATAAAACAGATTAAAAACATTGTTTATTACAGCGCCTGTTCCAGCTCGAATACGTAATGTAGCACCTATCAATACAAACTCGAGGTTTCCAGTTTTTGTATTTTTCGTGATATTATCTAGACGGCCTAGACGTTTCGTCAGAAGAAAATAGTGGGAAGTGGATTAATAAGGCTTATCTTAATCTTTCGGCGGGTATTGTTTGTTGCAATGCTGTGCCCTTTACAAAAACTCTTGTTATTTTTTTATTATTAACCAAGGCAAGCACGCTTGCTTTGGCGGTGCCAAATCAACGATTGCGCACGCGCTAAGTCAACGTTCGAGGCCTGCTATTCGAGGAATGTACGCGAGCTGCAAGCGGCTCTCCTAAGGAACGCCGCTCCGTTGCCAGTTGGTCAACTATCAATCCTAACATGTTTGCTATCTGATACCTTTGGTACGAACTTTCAAAGTTCAAATACCAATTAAATGAATTAAGGGACCGGTCATAAAGAAACAGCTAGGGTGGGCCGAAGTGATTTGGGATGGGCCATGGAAAATATTTTGGCAGTTTGGATGGGCCGCCAATTATTTTGTATGTCTACGGTTGGGCCACCAAACAAAAAGCCGTATCTACTTTCATCCAGGGGCGTAGGAAGCCAAGGGGGGGGCTCGACACCAACCATGGTGGCGCCTAGTGGGAGTCTTCCCCCCCCCCCTAACTTTTACAAGCTTCCCTGCTTTCATTACTTATTATGATAAATATAATAGCAAATAAGATTTTAAAATCAAACATAATACAAATCTAACAGGGCTGTACACTGCACATAGGGCAGCAGGGGCAACTGCCTCGCCCCACGCCCGAAAATTTAACTAATTTTATAATGTGATTATGTTTGTAACGGATAATTATGCAGTCAGGAAATAAAAAAATTCATGCAAAAATAAGTGTCTATACAGCCGGCTATTTAGTAAATTGTCACTTGTCAATTCATACTCATCGAATTTTCAAAACTTTATTGTGATGATATGAAGCAAAGTTCTGTCACCTGTTGTTTACACTTGCCAATGTTAACTGTTGAGTAATATACACATTATTCGAGGAACATGCATTACTCTAACAAAGAGTCAATCATATATCGAAGACCATGCACTGAATACTAGAGAATGTTTTGAAGGTCATGAGTGAAGTATATAATTCAATTCCAACCCTGTGCACAGTTAATGATATATCACACTGTTCGGTTTAACTCAGCCTATCCACACAAAAACAATTTGTGTTGTGGGAGAATATCTGTTTGAGTAGAAGGTATCACAAGTTTAGTTTTGTACATTCTGTGCCATTGATATGATCCATCCATATAATATATGGTTATTGTAGCTGTTAAGTTATTTTTCATACTGATGAATTTAGGTAAGATTGTCTTGCAAGTGGGTTGTTCTGACAAAATTATCCAGTCAATATCCAGTAGATCAGTACATGTATTCATCATTCTTGTATTAATCTCTAAACAAAAACAATTTATATTAGAAAGCAAAATGACAATGAAATGAGGAGGGAAGGTAGGGATTCTTTTATTAGCAATAAAAACTCATTAATAATTCATGAAGGAAACACAAAGAAAAATCATAAGCGTGTCGTATCTGTATATGTGATACTGGTTCATGTTGATTTACATTAACTTTGATTTTCTCGGCTTACACAACGTTTATTTTTAAAATTACTTCGCCAATGAACTCATAAGATGAGTCGTTCTTAAGCCATTTTTCGGCTCGAGTTTGTATATCCGATACAACACGGCCGCTCATGTTGTAAATAGTACTTTGAAAATGGTTGTAACAATTTTGATTAATTAACTCTATTGTGTAAAACGAAAATGTATATAAAGTATAATTTTAACTGATGACATCTTTGCCTTTGCTCTAACACTACATTTGATGACAACTTAGTTGGACTGTTGTTTTGAACAGAGTTACAGAAATACAGGACCAGGATTTAATTCAATATCTCCTGAGAACATTAGTTTCTTGTGATATAATTGTTAATTGGCTATATAATGCTTGCAGTCAGAGTTTTGACTGTTTAAAACAGGGCCCGCGGAGCGTATTGGAGAGTGGGGGGGGG